CCTGGATCAGAGGCAGAGTTGGAGTAAACCAGTGTTAAAAAAACCTACCTATTTCCTCGGACTGCAAGGGGGAGGGATGCAGTGATTGTAACGAGGTGAGCCAGGTGGACCTCATTGAATAGGAGTTCCCTAATTGGAGCTGTTAATCCGGTCCAATCAGGGAGCCCTGGCTGACAGATATAAAAGGGAGTGTCAGAGGTTCTGCTCACTCTAAGAGCTGACCCTGAGGGAACTGGATCAGTATCAAGAGCTCTCCACGTGTGCGTAAAGGACATACAGGATACTGGCCTCTGTGGAGTTGTTTCACTGACCCACAGCATTGTGATTCACTCTTAACTGCTCTGAGTGTGAATAGGGATGGGCAATAAATGTCGGTGCAGACAGTGATGGCTACAGCTCATGAATTAATTAGAGAAAATATCAGTTGAGGGAATAGGCTTGGTAGAGACAGGATATGCATAAAGGTCTCATTATTTTCTGTAATTTCTGTCCAGATTCTTAGCAGATCTCTTGAGTATGTGTCATTTCCTCATTACATCTCAGCTGAGATGATGCAGTAAAATCATGGAGGTGGGACTTGAACTCAAACCTCTGCTTTTGAGGCAAGAATGTTGCTGAAACTGAGCCAAAACTGCTCAGTAGGAGAATTAAGTATCAATCTTGAGTCCATGATAGCATGCTTCACCACCCCCCACCAACTCAAAAGGTTGTGGGTTCAAATCCCATTCCCAGAGATTTGAGCATATTAATCAGACTAATACATCAGTGCAAAGCCAAAGGAGCTCTCTTGCAGCACTCTTGAAGACGTGTCTTTCTGATGAGATGTTAAATGAGTTTGGGGAGGCCCACTTTGCTCTCTCAGATAGATGTAACAGATCTCACATCTTTGTTGAAGAACTGGGAAGTTATTTTTCTAGGTGTGTCTCAACTAACAACATCTGATAAATGTACCATTGCTGTTTATAGGTCCATGCAGGAAAATAGCTGTTGTGTTCCTTCATACAACTTCAAAACTACTTTATTGATAATAATGTGCTTCGGGACATTGTGGGATTGTGAAAGGTGAGATATAAAACAAGTTTTTTTTTCAAAGGCTCATTACAAACAAATAAACTCAGAAGAGTCAGCAGTAGGAATAATTTCCTTTGCGTGATATTAAACAAGTTCTTTTGTTTTCAAAGGCTCATGAGAAATAAATAAATTCAGAAGAGTCAGCAGTAGGAATAATTTCCTTTGTGTGATGGTGAAAGAAATTAGAAGATTTTCATTTGACAGGTATTCCAGTAAAAACGACAGTTTCAGTTTCAATGGAAATACTGAGACAGCAAGTGACATATGTTCGTGACCTGATCCTTGGTATTGGATAGTTGCCCAGTCTGGATTCTTCCAGAAACATCTGGTATTCATAATCTGCAGCAGTGACAGAAGTTTTTTTTATCTAAAGTGGGTGGTTTGTTTTGCTTCGATAGCAGCCAATTCTTATTAAGGTTAAAAATACTGCCAAATGATGCGAAACTTCTTCACTCAGTCTGAGTGAAACCTATGATTGAATGTTTATGATGCTGTACTTTATAGATGACTGGTATCCTTCTGCATTGTTAATTTGAGTTGTAGATTAGAAAGGAGTTCAGTATAGTGTTCAATTTCACTTATGATGTGGAGGTGCCGGTGTTGGACTGGGGTGGACAAAGTCAGAAATCACATGACACCAGGTTATAGTCCAATGGGTTGTGTTTTCAAATAAACCTGTTGGGCTATAACCTGGTGTCGTGTGATTTCTGACTTTGGCCAATTTCATTTAGGCAGTGTGTCCTCTCTCATGTATTCCTTTGAGTGCTACATTTCTGCAGGCATTAACTGGTTAATAACAAGCAGGTGAATGCTTGTGATAAAGTAGAACATCAAAGGAATTTAAACATGTGTGAACTTAATGTCTTCACCACATACTTATACAACTATGCCACCAACAAACGTCTTAAAGTGTTTTGTGCTATCTCTTACCCTGATGATTGAAGGGTCAAGAACAAACAGAAGGACACAAAATCATACAACACAGAGGGAGCCATTCATTACATCAAGTGTGTCAGCTTTTTGAAAGCTTTGCAATTTGCTGCTCTCCCCTGCTCACTCCCTGTAGTCCTGCAACTTTCTCCATTCATATGTTTTGAAAGTTGCTATTGAATGTGTTTCCAACATCCTTTCAAGTCAAAACATCTTATTACTTAAAATATTTCTCATTACCTTTTCCTTTGCTTTTTCCACACCCTTACATTCTTTGGTTACTTCCTGCCAGTGAAAACAATCTTTCTTCATTTGCTCTCTTAAACCACCAGTCACTGCATTATTCTGAATATCTCTCTTAAATCTCCCTTAATTTTCACTGTTTTAAGGAGAACAATCCCAAATTCTCTGTTGCTCCCACACCAGAAATAAAATATAATGGAAGAGTTGTAAAACAGATAATAGGAGAATCATCTTCCACCAACATGATAAATCACAAAAAGCTATTCTGATTATCACATAACTGAGCCATATAGTGTATGACTTTCTGTGCTGGTGTGTAAGGCTATAATTCCCATAGATTAGTTGGTCAAATCAAACAGCTTATACCTTTTGGGTGTTTGTGATAGGCACAAGACAGCCTGTATTCAACTAGCCTGCTCATGGAAGATTGAAAATGCACCGTCTACTGTTTCTTGATTAGCAGCGCTTGCTGAACAATACCAAGTGTGTTAATAGCTACACAAACAGCCAATTTGAGGTAATTAGTCAAGCATAAATATGGCTAATTTAAACTTGCTAGGTGTGACATATATTCACATGTAAGGACCCATTCTCTGCAACCAAAAGGAATATGTTCAGGCCTTTTATGCTGTTTTGAATTTCGTGGGAGCTTGGGAGCCTATGGTTCCGGCTTGCTTTCGCCATGGCAACATTTCAGCCAATCAGAATTTACTTGTCAACCAATTAGCACGCTTTTTTCCTGTAGTATAAATTGCTGCGATTATTCGAAATTTGACTTTCTTGAGATTTTCATGAGGAGTGCAAGACAGAAAACTTTGCTAAGACGTCTCTCCTGTTTTAATAAAAAACATCTTTGCACAAGAGGGTTGCAAGACTGTTATACCAGACTTAGTAATTGAAGCAGAGACCTCATTAATATTTAAAAATAGATTATACATTTGTTTGGGCTACAGGAAAATGAAAAAAGGCAGTAGGAACAAGGTAGGGATTAGGGCAAAGCTGCTATGATAGATAAGATTTAATAATGAACAGTTAGGTTTCCCAATAAATTGTAACTTGGGCATTGAATTAGAGAGTAAACAGTGGCTCTGACAGATAATTGGTTTAATTAAGAAGCATCATGGCACCAGGTGCCAAATTGTGTGCTGACAATACAAATAAAAGAAGTAATCCTATATCATTGCAAAATATAAAATTAGAAAAGGATTGCATAATTTAATAACTATAATTTGTAAGATACAGATCTCCTTAAATTTTCAGACTAGAAATGAAAGATCCACTGCAAACTGTGTTTTGAATTAAAGTCCAGAGATTAAATGTCAGGTTGACAGACTCCCTCACTTAATTAAAGCCTCAATCATTTTATTATGAGATATAACAAGGTGTAGAGCTGGAGGAACACAGCAGGCCAAGCAGCATCAGAGGAGCAGGAAAGCTGACGTTTCGGGCCTAGACCCTTGTTGAAGTAATTGATTGGGCTGTCTCATAGATCAAGGTGCACTCTGGGACTTGAACTGACCTCCAGCAAGTATCTTCCACCTGGATAGGCAGAGCTGTGATACCCATTCTATTTATGTCCCTGTTTTGTCCTTGCCATAATGGTTGGAAATTGAATCAAATTAAAGTCTGTCACTTGTCATTTTGGAGATAGGACTTATTTGTCTGTTTCAAGAGGTTTGTAAAATTGAGTACCACCGTAAGGAGAACTGAATTTTGAATTTTGAACTGTCAAAAGGTGCTGTTTTACAGATGAGATGGGGAATCAAGTGCCCACCTGCCCATCTGTCTGGCTGCAAAAGAACCCTAGGCACAACTTCAAAAAACAGGGGAATCGGTCTGCCCAGTGTTCATTTTATCCCACAGGCAGTATCTAATAAAACACTAATCTAAAACAGATATATCTGGTTATTAACACATTGGCATTTGTGGGAGCTTGCTGAGTGCAAATTAACTGCCACGTTCCCTATCTTACAACAGTGAAGCCAATTCAAAGAAAATACTCCACTGGTAGTAAACTGCTACAGGTCATCCTAAGGTTTTGATATAAATGTAAGTGTTCTTGCTCAGTTATGCGCCAAATTAGCTGAGTCCTCTGACCAGCCCCTGGGGACTATTTGCGCGAGAATTCCACGACTTGTATGTGCAGATAATCCCCATAACACAGCTCCTGTTCTGATCGCCGACATTTTTTAGAAAAAACCCTCGCTTTTCGGGGAAAGTAGCGGGTTTTTTAAAAACTAATTTTACTAAAGCCTAATCAAGTCAAAGACTGGAAGCAGCCACAAACAGATAATCCCTACACAACCCAACTCTTTGCAATAGCGAAGGGTGACTACTCGCTTAAGGAGGGGGGTGGAATATATTGCAGCTGTTCTGCACACGTGGCTGTTCTGTGAGAATCTCTGATTCCTTTGTGTTTAGCTGTTTTGAAGTTTGTGTTGCTGTTTCTTTCGCAAACACTCCATCCCCTAGTCTTTGTCACACCTGGATACCAGCTGTTGATCAGCTTCTAATGTCCCCACAAACTCACATAAAGTTTAAACAACACACAAAACATTGGCTACAATGAAAACTGCCCCAGATTTGAGAGCATTTGTTGCAAGACGGGAATGGACCAGGAAATTCAAAGTGCTTTTTTTCCTCTGGTGTCTGGGATGTGGGCAGGGATTTGTGGTGTGGGCAGGGATTTCTTTCCTCTCGGCTTCGTTCGGGATGATCTAGCAGTGAGTGTGTGATCCGGACGGAGAGGAGACAGAATGATGAGCGGCCGCACGGTTTGCCCTCTGCTGTTGCTCTGTTTGCTGGCCGCCGGGGCAGGCAGCTCGCCTGAACTCCCCGGACAGGAGAGGCCAGAGCGGGGCAGCTCCCCAGCTCCGCCAGCCCCCCGGGCAGGAGGGAATCCCGGAAGGAATGGGATCCCCCTGAACCGGAGGAGCGGTCAGCCGCCCCTGGAAGCCACCAAAGCGAAGTTGGGAGCCCTCGCCCAGTTCTTCGGCAAGTCCCGCCTCTTGGTGCTGGCTGCCCCCGACCCCTCGGATAACTCATACCGCCTGATGGAGCAGCAGATAGACCTGAAGAGCCGGCGGCTCCGCTGCCAGTTGGCAGCCAGGGACCTCTTGGTCCTGATCTTGTTCCAGAAGGCCAGCGCCTCCCCGGGCAAGTTGCACACCGTCTCCCCGGAAGGCGAGGTCTCAGAGGAGACAGTGGGAGCCCAGGAGGCGGCTCAGATCCGGCAGCACCTGTCCCTGGAGGAGGGTCAGTTCGGGATGGTGTTGCTCAGGAAATCCATGCAACTGTACGAGAGGTTCCCGTACGCCGTAAGGATGGAGGCTGTGCTGGAAACTGTGGACCAAATGCCCCTCAGGAAGATCGAAAGCGTGACCAGGAGAGGACAACAGCTGAAGTGTAAGAGTGGGAGGGACAGGAAATTGGGCTCAGGACAATTACTCCACAACAGGAGGGGGATGGTCACCAGAGGAATGGTCAACAGGACAACGCTCAACAGAGGAATGGCCAACAGGACCATGCTCAACAGGACAATGCTGAACAGGGGATTAGGCAACAGGGGAATGATCAACAGAGGAATGGTCAACAGGACAGTGCTCAACAGCAGATTGAGATCAGCCTCTCCCAATTCCCAGAAACTGGTCCGTTCTAAGAGTGTCAGTTCCTCAGGGAAACCGGGAACGTCAGCCCCAGGCAACAGTCCACCCAGCAGGAGGACACTGGGCAAAAGGAAAGGTTCCGCCTCCACCCTGAACTCTATTGGCAAGAGAAGAGCTGAGAGCCCCAGGAGTGCAGATACACTCAGGGAGTCTCCCACAGTGCCACCAGGACAGCGGATGATGGATCAGATCAAAAAGAAGGTGCAGCAGATGTTAATGGCCAAACACCAGAAACCTGACCAGCGCAGGCTGACTCTTGTCACCCAGAATAGGAACCAAATATCCCGGACAAGAACTCATACCCACCACATACCCCGGGTCCATTCTACCAGCTCACCTCTAGGGTCCTCAACTATGGCTCTTCTTAACAGGCCTGCAGCTGGCACTGAGCAGGATTTCCAACCAGAGAATGTTGCCCCCCTGAAACGGGACCAATCTCAATTGCCTCCAGCCCAGCCTGTGAGGCCAGGAATCTTTGAATCCAACCCCAGTACAGTTCAGTCTCAGGACAGTCTTTCTGCTTATCAGACTCTGGAGAACTTTTCCACTCTCCCTACAGCTCCGACACATCAGCTCACTGAGTCAGGACTTTGGAGCAATGGATCACCTAGCGTTCAAACCAGAATTCTTGGGCTCTCTAACTCCTCTGGCCGATTGTCTCATGTCTCACACCTACAAGAAACATCAGCCTCCCATCCTGAGAGCCACCAAACAATGGACCAGTGGTCAGACTCTCTCTCCAGGACCACACTTCCCAAAACCCCCAGGGTTCATGTCACTGTGCAGCCCATTGAAGGCAAGGCAGATGGAGAGTTAAGCCAGCTGCCTCCAGAACTAGAGCAGGGGGGAGGGCGTCACTGGCAGGATAACCCAATATCTGTACGAACCAGAGGCAAGAAAGTGGAGAATAAGCAGGAAGGTAACTCGAACAAAGCAGTCAGAAACAAAGGCCGGAAAAACAGGAGAAACCGCAAGAACAAGAAAAATGCCTCCAGAAACTCAAAGCAGATTGACAACAGGGAGCTCCTGGGGTTTTTAGACCACTTTCGGAACAAGCGAAGATTGCTGGTAAGTTATTTGGAAAACCTGGGCAGGGTAGAAGCAGAGGGCACCTGGGTCCAAGAAAAGCCTAGTCTGATGGTGTTTTGAAGTGCAGTTGGTGCTAATCCTGATGATGAGTATAGTCCAGCTCAGGACATTTCTGCAGAGTTTGTATTTTGACATTTCACTGTGAGTTTGTTTTCTCAGCATGAGCAGTGCTGTTTTTTTTTTCCTTTATCATTAACGGGACGAGGGCATCGCTGGTTAGGCAGCAATTATTGCCCATCTCATATTGCCCAGAGGGCAGGTTAGAGTTAACCACGTTGCTGTGGGTCTAGAATCACATGTAGGCCAGACCAGGTAAGGATGGCAGTTTCCTTCCCTAAAGGACATTAGTGAACTAGATGCGTTTTTCCGACAATCGACAATGGATTCATGGTAATCATTAGATTCTTAATTCGGAATATTTTTATTGAATTCAAATTCCACCATCTGCTGTGGCAGGATTCAAACCCAGGTCTCCAGAATGTTATCTGGGTCTCAGGATTAACAGTCCAGCAATAATACCACTAGGCCATCACCTCCCCCATGAGTGAATTGTGTATTTCCTTTTGAATACATGAACTTGTGAGAAAGGGAAACGATGGAAGAATCAATCCATTGTTTTGGTAAAAGTACAAGTCTGTACAAAAAAAGTCCTGTTTAACTCTCTACTGCATTCCCCTGGCCCCACTGCCTATTAACGTAGTTGAAGCCGGAGAAGGTCATTGGTCCTTCACGTCTGCTCAGTAAAATCATGGCTGATGACCTACCTAGAATCCACTTTCTTACACTATCTCAATGTCCCTTAGCTCCTTCAGAGTATTAAAATCTCCCACTTTTAGCTGTGAATGTACTCTATTATATATACACAACAGTGGTTAGCACTGGTGCCTCACAACAGTAGAGATCTGGGTTCGATTCCAGCCTTGGGTAACCGTGAGGTGTTTGCAAGTTTTCCCTGTTGTACTGATTGTGACGAGGTCAGCCAGGTGGATCTCATAGAATATGAGTTCCCTGATTGGGGCTGATTAATAGGGACCCCTGGCTGAAATAAAATGGCTGAGTGTCAGGGAAAGTGACACTCTGGTGCCTGACTCTGTAAAAGGCAGAACTTTAGTCACGGACTGTTGATGTGTAAATAAAGGGTGAATTGGTGATAGGATACTGGCCTCTGTAGAGCTGTTTCACCTGTGTCTGCGTGGGTTTCCTCTGGGTCTTCTGGTATTGTTCCACAGTCCAGATTTGTGCAGGTTAGGGTGGATTGGCCATGCTAAGTTACCCATAGTGTCGAGGGATGTGCAGGCTGGGTGGATCAGCCATGCGAAATGCTGGGTTATGGGGATAGGGTGGGATGCTGTTTGGAGGGTCAGTGCCGTATCGCCTATTTCCATACTGGGGGGATTCTATGATTCAGTGACTGAGCACTCACAACCACCCGAGGTGGAGAATTTCAAACGTCCACAACCTTCTGGGTGAAGAAACCTCTCAGTGATCCTGTGTTCTAAATTCTCCAGCCAGGGCAAACAGCATCTACCCTGTCAAAAACTTTCAATATTTGTTATGTTACAATGAGATCACCTCTCATTTTACTAAAAGGTAAAGGATGTAGGCTGTTCTACTCAATCTCTCCTCAAAGAGCACCTATTTCATCTAGTGAACCTTTTACTGTTGATAAACCTTCTGTTGCTCAGGCTCATCCTTTAGAAATCCCTCCTTAAGTTCTTGTGTTTTGAGATCTTTGAGACCTTTGGCCAAGTTCTTAAACTCAATTTCTTTTATGTTGGCTTGGCATCTTTTGTTTTTAGTTGTGAAGTGCCTTGGGGAGTGCTTTGTGATTGGAGCATAGAGCCAGGATTAGGCCATTCAGCCCATTGAGTCGGCTCTGCCATTCAGTGTGATCATGACTGATCAAACTGTTCAATGCCTTAGTCATAGATTCATAGAATCATACAGTACAGAAACAACTCCTTTGGTCCAACTTCTCCATGCCGACCAAGTTTCCCAAACCAAATTAGTCCCACTTGACTGCATTTGGCCCATATCCCTCTAAACCTTTCCTATTTATGTACTTATCCAAATGTCTTTTAAATGTTATAACTATACGTACATCTACCACTTCCTCTGGCAGTTTATTCCACATATGAACCACCCTCAGGTCCCTTTTAAATTTTGCTCCCCTCATCTTAAAAATATGCCCCCTAGTTCTGAATCTCCCCTCCTAAGGGAAAAGACATTGCTATTCCCCTTACCTATGCCCCTCATGATCTTATAAACACCTGTTAAGGTCACCTCTCAACCTTGCACGCTCCAGTGGAAAAAGTCCCAGCCTATCCAGCTTCTCCTTATAACTCAACGCTCCAGTCCCAGCAACATCCTCATAAATCTTTTCCGAACTCTCTCCAATTTAATAATATACTTTGTATAGCAGGGTGACCAGAACCAAACATAGTACTCCAGAAAAGGCCTCACTAACGTCTGTACAGCCTCAACATGACATCCCAAACCCTGTACTCAATGGTGTGAGCAATGAAGGCAGGTGTGCCAAACACCTTCTTAACCACATTGACTACCTGTGACATAACTTTCAAAGAATTATGTACCTGAACCCATAGGTCTCTCTGTTTGACAACACTATCTAGGGCCCTACCATTAACTGTATAAATTCTGACCTTGTTCACTTTACCAAAATGCAATATCTCACATTTATCCAAATTAAATTCCATCTACCACTTCTCAGCCCATTAGCCCAATTGATCAAGATCCTTTTGTAATCTTAGATAAACTTCATCACTGTCGACCATACCACCAATTTTGGTGTCACCTGCAAACTTATTAGGCATTTCTCCTAAATTCTCACGCAAATCATTTATATAAATGACAAACAACAGTGGATTCTGCACTGATCCCTGCAGAACACCATTGGTCACAGGCATCTACTCCGAAAAACAATCCTCCACCATCACCCTCTGCCTCCTACCATGAAGACAATTTTGTATCCGATCGACAAGCTCTCCCTGAATCTAACTTCACTAATCAGTCTACCATGCAGAACCTTGTCAAAGGCTTTACTAAAGTCCATGTAGACAACGTTTACTACTCTGCTTTCAATCTTTTGGGCTCCTCCTCAAAAAACTCAATCAACTTCATGAGACATGATCTCCAACACACAAAGCCATGCTGACTATTCCTAATCAGTCCTTGCCTCTCCAAATGCATGTAAATCCTGTCTCTCAGAATCCCATCCAGCAACGTACCCACTGCTGATGTCAGATTCACTGATCTATAGTTCCCAGGCTTCTGCTTACAGCTCTTCTTAAATAAAGGCACAGCATTAGCCAGTCCTCCAGCACCCCACCTGTCTCTGTAGATGATACAAATACTTCGGCTTGGGGCCCCGCAATTTCTTTCCTAGCTTCTCACAATGTTCTGGGATACACTTGACCAGTCCCTGAGATTTATCCACCTTTATGTTTTTTAAGACCTTCAGCACCTCCTCTTCTGTAATGTGGACTGTTTTCAAGACATCAATATTTATTTCCCCGAGTTCCCAGCCCCCATGTCTTTCTCCACAGTAAAAACTGACACAAAGTATCTCCCTTCTCCTGTGGTTCCACACACAGATAAATTTGTTATCTTTAAGGGGCTCTCTTCTCTCCCTAGTTGCTGTGTTCCTCTTAATGTCCTTGTAGAATCTCTATGGATTATCCTTAACCTCATCTGCCAAGGCAGTCTCTTTTAGCCACCACAACCACATAACCCTGTAAGCCATGGGTAATCGGAAATCTATCAATCTCTATGTTAAACATATTCAAAAACTGAGCTTCCACAACACTCTGGGATAGAGAATTCCAAAGGTTCACAATCCTTTTGAGTAAAACAAAAATCTCCTCAGATCTAAGTGGCATCCCCCTTTGCTTTAAATTGTGCCCCTGCTTCTAGACTCCCCAACCAGGAGAAATATCTTGCCCTATTTACCCTGTCTCTCCCTTTAAGTATTTTGAATGTTTCAATGAGATCATCTCTCATTCTTCAAAACTTTGGAGAATACAGACCCAGTTTGCCCTATCTCTCTTCATAGGACAGTCCCGCCATCCCGGCAACAAGTCTGGTGAATCTTCACTGCACTCCCTCTATGGCAATAGTATCCTTTCTGGGAGGAGGGGACTAAAACTGCACACAGTACTCCAAGTGCAGTCTAATCAAGCTCCTATACACAATTGAAGCAAGAGTTTACTACTTCTGTACTGTACTGAAATTCTGTTGCAATAAAGACTAACATTCCATTAGCCTTCTTAATAGTTTGCTGCTCCTGCATGTTAGCCTTCAGTAACTTATTGACAAAGGCTCCTAGGTCTTTTTATACATCTATACCTTCCAACCTTTTACCATTTAAAAAAAAAATCTCTGCACATCTGTTCCTCCTACCAAAGTGAATAATCTCACATTTTTGACATTACACTGTGTCTGTTATGTTCTTGCCTATTCACTAAGCCTATCTAAATCTTCATGAAGCCACTTTACATCTTCCTCATAACACATAGTCCAACTTAGCTTTGATCAGCATAATTTGGATATATTACATTTGGTCCCCACCTCCAAATCATTGTTATACATTTTGAATGGTTGGAGCTCAAGTTTTGGTCCAACTAGTAACAGTGTGCCAATGTGGGAATAACCCATTTATTCCTACTCTCTGTTTTCTACCTGTAGCCAAACATTAATTCATGCCAGTATATTACCTCTCTCCTATGTGCTTTAATTTTTCTAACCTCTAGTGGGAGACTTTATCATAAGGCTTCTGAAAATCTAAGCGTACTACGTCCATTGGCTCTCCTCTATCAATGTTGTTCATAACATCTTCCAAAAATTCCAAGTTCATCAAACACTCATTTGCATTTGCGAATCTGTGCTGACTCCGCCTAATCACATCATTTTTATTCAAGTGTCTATTTATCACATCTTTTATAATAAATTCTATCATTTTCCCTCTTATTGATGTAAAGCTAACAAGTTTGCAGTTCCCTCTTTCTCTCTCACTCCCTTCTTAAATAGTGGGATGACATTTGCTACCTTCCAATCCATAGGGATCATTTCTGAATCACAAGAATTTTGGAAGATAATCACCAAATGCATCATCTATCTCTATAGCCATCTCCTTCAAATCACTATAACAATACAGGATGTTAGACTGCAGTGGTTAAAGAACTGATCTCACTACCTCGTTTTCGAAGGCAAGTAAGGTGAGACTTGCCAGCGATGCCCAAATCACAATGATGAATAATAATATTCAATATGTTGAATGAGTAATTGGTGTATGATTTAGTTTGTGAATGGAATTCTTGTGTTCTCTGCCTGAGGGCATGTCTGATCCACACCTTCATGATCTTTGCCACTGGCAGGGCACAGAGGCAATTTTACATGTACGTTTTAATTCTGGAACCATGGTTAATGGTGATGGAGTCTCCAAGTTTCTTTCCGTGAATCGAGGAGTCTCTCCTGCTCTTACCACCTGCCATTGACATGTGTTGGAAGGATCAGTAAGTTGCTACTTGACCTGTTCGGCTGAGTTATGAATGTACATTTCTTGGCCCACAAGTCCTGGAGTGAGATTCGAACCTAGAGCTTCTGACCCAGAGGCAGGGATACTACCTGCAAGCGCTCCTGTTGTGAATGGGCTGAGAGGTTCTAAATGTTGAGTTGAATTCCTCACCAGGCCACTGCCTCAGGCATGATGTATTTCTATGATGCACCTTATTGTGTTTTGACAGCTTATTACTGCACCCAGAAAAGACAGCAAGCTCTACATACACCAAAGGGATGAGTACCTGGAACACATATGCCAGCTGGCTATCCGGAAATTCAGTATGATTGCTATTCTAGGCTCACAATCCAATAGCACCCTGACGGTGGAACATTATCAGAATGGTGAGTGTCAGTTCACAAAATACTCCCCATTACTCCTTGTGAGAGGTTCATCCACCAGCCCCTACCGAATTCTAACCATTTTCATCCTTTTTCTTCCCATTCTAACCCTCCAGATCCCCTATTCTTCTTTCTTCAGCCTCTCACACCCCTTCTGTCCTAGCACCCCATCCTGCCACTTTCTGCCATCCCAATCCCTTCTATCTACAAGAGGCTTGACACTGAATTACAATCAACTATTCATCTGCAGCGTGCAGCACACATGGGACAGTTTTGGAAAATTAGGAACTGGAAGCCATTTAGCCTGTCAAGCTTCTCTTTCATTCAGTTAGATAATGGCTGATTGCACCTTAACTAAATTACCCTGCTATGGTTCTTTCAGCCTTTAGCCAATAAAATTTATCAGTTTTGGTCTCTTCAGTTCGACCTGAGCGCAGCCACATAGTCTTTTGGGAGAGAGAATTCCACATTCTATTAGCCTATGTACATGGCATATTCCCTTGAAGTTTTTGTCCCCTTGGGTTATTAATGTGGAATTTGAAACGCAAACAGATTAGTCATGATCGTATTGAATAGTGGAGCAGGCTTGTGGGGCCGAATGGCCTACTCTTGCTCCTTGTACATATGGATGGCCTTGACCATTAGGGAATTTTAAGGATAGACAAGAAACCAAAAGAACCACTGCACACTTCACACTTCCTGAATATATCTTTTCACTTCCCTATTTTAGAAAACGAATTAGCACTTGAAAATCCACTTTCCGAATCTGTCAATGTTGATCTGATTGCTCAGCTACGAAGAGAATTTGGGATGTCATTTGATGAATTCTTTATGGCTCTGGTTGATTATGATATGAAAGCTAAGGTGAGAGCTGGCATTTTATGCTTTAATATTAATGTTAAATAATTTAATTCTAATCCATTTGGAAAAGAGAGTCTTGCATTTATACAGCACATTATAATTATCTCTCAGACATGTCTTGAAGCATTTTACGCATGTTACATATAAACTGAACTGGACCAGTTATATAATTATGGTGATGACAAGAGCAGGTCAGAGACTGGAAGTCCTGCAGTGAGTAACTCACCTCCGGACTCCCCAAAGCCTGTCCACCATCTACTAGGCACAAATCAGGAGTGTGATGGAATGCTCCGCGCTTGCCTGAATGGGTGCACCTCCAACAACTCTCAAGAAGCTTGACACCATCCAGGACAAAGCAGCCGCTTGATTGACACCCCATCCACCACCTTCCACATTTACCCCATTTCACTATCTTCCACATTTACCCCATTTCACCATCTTCCACATTCACTACATTCCACCACTGATGCACGTAAGGAGCAAGTCTATGTTTCAAAGATGCAGAGTAACAACTCACTAAGACTTCTTCAGCAGCATTTCTAAATGCACAATCTCTACCCTGTAGAAGTAGGAGGCCAGCAAGATGCATGGGAACACCACCGCCTGCAACACCCCCTCCAGGTTACACATCATCCAGACTTGAATCTGTAATCAATGTTCCTTCATTGTCAAAATCCTATACACTGCAGAATCCCACAAACAGCAGTAAGAAATGAATAAATAGTTTATCTGTCTTTGGTTAAGAGAGGAATGTTGGCCAGGTCACAGAAATCAAAGCAAAGACTTGTGTTTATATAGTGCATTGCATGATCACATACCAAAAGTGCTTTGTGTCAGTGATGTACATTTTGAAGTCTGATCCCTGCTATAATGCAGAAAAGGTTCCAGCCAGTTTGTGCACAACATGATAATGACAGGATAAATCGGTTTTAGTGTAATTGATTGAGAGTTAGATATTGTTCAGGATGCCTGGGAGAACTGTGCAGCACTTCCTGCTTTGAAAGTAGACTGGATCCTGGTTTACCATCTTATTCCACAATGGAGTGTCTGGCTACATTAGTTCCAAGGTGAGAGTGTGACCCACAGCTAAGGGAAGAAATTATTTTCTCGGGTGGGGAATTCACATCAAAGGGACATAATTGTTAAACTTAGAGCTAGATCATTAAGGAGTACTGGGGGCAGCACAGTGGCCCAGCGGTTAGCACTCCTGCCTCACAGCACCAGGGACCCAAGTTTGATTCCGCCCATGGGCGATTATCTGTGTGGAGTTTGCACATTCTCTCATGTCTGCATGGGTTTCTGCCGGGTGCTTCAGTTTCCTCCCACAGTCCAAAGATGTGCAGGTTAGGTGGATTGGCCATGCTAAGTTGTCCGTAGCGTCCAGAGATGTGCAGGCTGGGTGGATTAGCCATGGGAAATGCAGGGTTACAGGGATAGGGTAGGTGGGTCTGGGTGGGATGCTGTTCGGTGTGGGGGGTCGGTGGGGGTGCGTTGGTGTGGAATTGATGGGCCGAATGGCTTGTTTCCACATTGTAAGGATTCTATGATTCAAAGGTAGGAATCATTTATTGGATAGAGGAAATCTAGTTCTCTTTCCCCCAAAAGCTGTTGAAGATTTGTTTGGAAAGGGGTGTTGAGTGATGTGGAGCAAAAGTGGGCAAATGGAGTGGAAGTGTAGATCTGCCTTGATCTAATCAACAGTAGAGTAGGAATGAGAGGCTGAATGGCAGTGACTTGGTCTTGGTGCTCCTAACAGATGGTAACTGTTGAGTTTGTTCTATGACCTGATGCAGTAACATTTATCTATATATTGACAACAAGTGAGATAATGCTTCAATCATTGTGATGATATTAATACACCTTTCATGTAGTAACTGCTTCGTTTTTATATTCCTGCTTTGTCTCCCATCCAGCAATATTTCGATGTCCCTATCCCCGTTAAGATTCTAGTGGATTATATGGACACACTGCCCTCGAGGCAGCCAGAGATTGAGGAAGAAAAGAAAAATGGTGTCACCTGTATCAAACGCAACAGGGAGATCAACATCAACAAATTTCTTTCCAGGTATGTGTAAAGGTTTTCTTCAGTAAAGACAACATATATATGTGCTCAACACAACTCTTAATACACTGCAGGATGATCTCCTACGCTCTTGACATTAACACCTGTTATTTCCTTACGTGACCTAAAAACACAAGAAACTATCAAGTAAAAATTACTAGGCCCATTAATCCCAGTTCTCCACAATTCCGTTCATACTCTATCTTTTTGTAGATTCTATCTCCATTTAAACCCCTCCCCAGTGGATCTGCAGCCCTGTGTACACTCTCTCCCCATCACTGACTCTACCCACCCATTTAATCCCCCTCCCACAGCCCCGTGTACACTCTGCCCCCATCACTGACTCCACCCACCCATTTAACTCCCCTCCCACAGCCCTGTGTACGCTCTCCTCCATCACTGACTCTACTCCCCCAACCATTTAACTTCCTCCCACAGCACCATGTACACTCTCCCTCATCACTGACCCTACCCTCCCATTTAATCCACTTCCCACAGGCCTGTGTACACTCTTCTCCCATCACTGACCCTACCCATGCATTTAATCCCTCTCCCACAGCCCCATATACACTCTCCCCCCATCACTGATCCTACCCACCCATTTAATCCCCTCCCACAGCCCCATGTACATTCGCTCCCAATCGCTGACCCTGCTCACCCATTTAACCCCCTCCCATAGCCCTGTGTACACTCTTACCCACTCCAAGTTGAGTGGGTAATGGGGAAGGCAAGTGGACCACTGACCTTTATTTCAAATGGAATGGAATATAAAATTAGGGAGATCTCGCTAAAACTACACAAGGCAGTAGTCAGCCCACAACTGGAATACTGTGAACAATTTTGGTCCTTTCTTAGCTAAAGAAAGAAATACTTGCATTGAGGGTGGTCCAGATAAGGTTCACCAGATTTATTCTGGGTATGGAGAGATTTTCCTTTTGAGGAGAGTTTGAGTAGATTGGGCTGGTATTCATTGGAATTTAGAAGTAAGAGAGGAAAACATATTGAAATATACAAGATTCTTAGGGGGTTTAACGGGATACATGCTGTGAAATTGTTTCCCCTTGTGAGAGAGGCTAGGACCAGAAGGTATCATCTCAGAATAAGGGGTTGCCCACTTAAGATAGAAATGAGGAGGATTTTTGTTTTCTCTCAGAGGGTAGTGAATCTAAGGAATTCCTTACCACAGAGGGCTGTCGAGTCTGGATTGGTAAATATATTTAAGGCTGAGATAGACATTTTTAATTGGTAGGTGAATCAAGGCTTCTGGGAAAAAGGCTAGAAAATGGAGGATTATCAGACCAGCCATGATTTCATTCAAAGGTGGAACAGATTCAACGGGTTGAATGGCCTTCTTCTGCTCCTACATCTTAAGGTGTTATTTGTTGCTTATTCCTAATTACCCTTGAACCGAGTGCATAGCTCGGGCATTTGAGAGGTAAGAGTCACCCACATTGCTCGGCATGGAGTCACATGTCGGCCAGACCAGGTAAGGAAAGGAGATTTCCCTCCTGAAAGGATATTAATGAACCAGGTGGGCTTTTACAAAAAATAAATTGATGCTAGTTGTCATGGTCACCTATTACCGAGTGCCACAGTCAATTGCATATTATTATTAATTGAATTTAGATTTCACCAGTTGCTGTGAAAGGATTTGAAACTGTCTCCAGAACCTTAGCCTTGTCGTGTGGGTTACTAATCCAGTAAATACCATATCAGCTTCTCCATATATCCCATGTATTACTTATTTATAACACACTCAAACCAGTTGCCACTGTCATTAATGAATTTGAATGCTTTAAATGTGATTTGGATATGGCACTGAAGCCAGAAGTGTAAGGGTGATGTACTAACATGGCAGCTCACCTTGAAGCCTTAATGGGTTAAGGCTGTGTTTTCAAGGATTTTTAATCCCAATGCTTATATTGTCTGTATCGCTGCAATAGTCTGTACGTTAATGATCAAGTGTAGTTGTCATGCGCCTTAGATTCCAGTGTTCAATGCTCCAAATACATAATAAAACAGAAGTTAAAGTAACGCTGCCATTTTCCAAAGGGGCTGCTCTCTCATTAGAGAGAGACAACTGGTCATGAGCTTAATTTGAGGGTCACTATACCTCAGGCAAGGGACGAGGTTGAGAATGTAGAACCTTCATGGTGACCTTAAACAGTACAGGCATTGAACCTGCGCTGTTGGTGTTACTCTGCAGCTGTCCAGCCAAACCCCAGAGAGGTATGTGAGATCCACTAATTGTACATTAACAAGGGCTCAATGCCCTAAGGAAAGAAGAGAATGTAAAGCCAGCTGCTTCAGTGTGTGTATTACCACTGAATCCATTTGTTTGTATGTTTTGTCCCAAACCAAGTCATAGCCTGGCTGACTCACATCCAAGCTATCGATCTGTTGGAATTATATATCATGATCTAGACTGAAAACTATGCTTATCAATTCTAGAGGTGCTGGAACTTGTATAACTCCTCCAATGTTCCACTACTCCAATGTAATTTGAAAAAAAAAAATCTGTTGATGGGGTTTGTGCAATTCACATTGACAATGTGATTCTTAGGTTGCTGTGGAAACGGAGAATGTTAATAATTTCCTCTCCTTCTGAAGAAGAATGGGCATTTCAACAACAGCTCATAGCGTTACATGGCCAGGCCTGCAATCTGGGTAAGTTATTTCAGCATTATGTCCTCCACCTCCTTTCACTTTGTAGCCCAGTGGCAGAGAGGGCACCCATTTTGTTTATTTTCTCTCAAAGAGATTATGTGCCAGTTCATGGGAGTCTTAGGGGATTTAGACACTTCACACCCACAAGATGGACAGAAAGCTGGTTGGCAGACAGGAAACAAAAAGTAGGAATAAATGGGTCATTTTCTGCATGACAGCCAGTGTTAGTGGGGTACCGCAGGGATCAGTGCTCGGATTCCAGTTATTCACATTATATGTTAGTGATTTAGGTGAGAAAACTAAATGTAATATCCCCACTGTTGCATATGACACAAAGCTGGGTGGGACAGTGAGCTGTGAGGAGGATGCCGAGATACTTCAGTATGATTTGGACAAGTTGAGTGAATGGGAAACTACATGGCAGATGCAGATAGATGAGAAGTTATCCACTTTGGTAGCAAAATTTAGGAAGGCAGATTATTATCTGAATGGCTATAAATTGAGAGAGGGAAGTGAGATCTCAGTGTCCTCGTACACCAGTCGCTGAGAGTAAACATGCAGGTGCAGCAGGTGGTGAAGAACGTAAATAGGATGTTGGTCTTCATAGTGAGAGGATTCAAGTACAGGAGTAGGAATGTCTTCCTGCAATTATACAGGGCCTGGACCACACCTGGAATGTTATAGGTAGTTTGGTCTTAGCTGAGAGATAGTAAGAACTGCAGATGCTGGAGTCAGAGATAACACAGTGTGGAGCTGGAGGAACACAGCAGGCCAGGCAGCATCAG